CAGAAGGATCGGATCACTGCAAAAGGGTCAGTTCTGCCCCCCTGCCCATGGCCCTGCCCCTGACCCAAACCCAGTGGTTCCACATGTGTGTGGCAGCTTGTGGCCTCGGGTTTCAAGTTAATTTATAAATATGTACTCAGGTTTATGGTTTTAAGTATTTAAATATTTTATTTAGCACACTTCTTGGCCTCAGACTGCGCCTCACTCCCCCTCCATTGGCCATAAAAGCAGCAGCCATCTCTCTCTCTCTCTCTCTGTCTTTTACTCTTTCTGCTGCTCCTGGTTCACGTGTGGCGGGTTTTATTCATAATTTATGCGTCCACAGGGCGACACTCATTCCGAGTACGAGTATGTGTGTGTGTGTGTGTGTGTGAATGTGTGAGTGTACTCATTAACTGAAGAGCTTTAATTTAAAGGGAAAAGCAGAAGGAAGCCCAACCCGATATACGGCTCGGAAATGTAGCTAATCAACCTTTAAATTGTACATATTTAATTCATGATCAAAAATCCTTAGTTCTTAGACTAATTAAAGTGGCCAAAGAACTATTAAATTGGCTGCAATGTTTATTATATGTATATTATTAACATGGAAGGATCCCCCTGCTCCCCTGCTCTTGCCCTGTCTATTAATTTCCATTGCGTACTTTCGAGTACTTTTCCACCTTCATATCCAATTGATTGTTCTCGACGAACAAAAGTGAATATTATATTTTCCACTAATTAATAAACAAAAATTGGCAAAGCCAATTGAAATAAGTGAACTTAATTCCCCCCTCCATCACCGTCTCATAACTTCTCTTTCGCTGCGAAAATGTGAGGAAAAAACATTAATTTCCTGCCACCGAATCGACCTGATAAATGAAGCCATTCTTGGGCTGTGCTCGTACTCGGCTTAGCGATTTCAATTATCGGCCATGTAGAGCGGGGCGTGGCACTGCTGGAGAGGGGCGTGGCAGGCAATGGGCATGAGAACAGGCGACCCACCGCCGATTAGCACGTGCCGGTCGTTCCGTGGTAGCGGCAGGGGCAGGGACAGAGGCTGAGGTCGAAGCCAAGACCAAACTGTCGATGGCCACGTGACCCAAACGATATCGTAGTAACTCGTATCTCCGAAGATAAACATAATTATGCAATGCAGCAGGGGAAACCGGTGTAGCGGGTGCACGGGTGCATGGGTGCATGGGTGCAGGGGGGTTTTAGCCAATCTGATAACACGCAACGAGATTTGTCATCATCAAACAAAGTGGGCGTGAAAATTGCGGATGAGAGGCCCGCCCCAGGAAGGAAGGATGCTTCGGGATGTACGGGATGTACGGGATGCTGGGCTACACGTTGTAGGGCTTCCGGAGCGGATGCAATCATGTCCATGGCGTGTGCGCGAAATATCCATTGTTTGCCTTTCCCAGGACCCAGAAATACACGCAAATAATTGCCGGCATAAGAGCCGGACAATAAAGATGCTCGTGGGCCAAGGACATTATGGCATTGATATAGCTGTGGCATATGCCACAACTCCGCTTGGGAGTGTGGGGCAGGGACACTCCATTCTTGGTTCTTGATTCTTGATTCTCGTTTCTCAATTCTGGCCGCGTCCCTTGGCCTCAACACATTCCACTTTGTCTCTGACTTTTACTCTGTCTCTGCTTCTGTATCTCTTTGGCTTCTGTCTCTGACCAGCACGTAGCACATCAAGCAGAAAGAATCAGGCAGTAGCTTCTGCTTATATACCCTTCCTCGAGGGTACGCCTGGCTATTTCTGCTAGCTTATAGCTACAAATTTATATTACAGTCTGTTAGGGCAGGGCATCAATGACTTTGCGACTCCCGAAACTATCATTTTCAGCTGGTGGTTGCCTAGTCCTTTTGGCATTAAAATTTCATTTGTCTGCTGGCCACTTGGCATGCGAGTCGGGCACACGCCGAGGCCCAACGTCAGGATACTAATCATAGACTGCCACCACATGCATCATCATCATCAGCCTTCAGCCTTCAGCCTTCAGCTCCCTACATCCTACACTCTCTTTCCAGAGCGCACATCCTCATCAAGCTGATTGCGAAAAATCACTGGAGAAATCAGGCAGAGTTCGTGTTGGCCAACAGTTGATGTCACGATGACATTTCTATGCTGAAGTGGAAGTGTAAGTGGATCTGGAATGCTTTTTCCATTCCCCTACTCTGACTGACACTCACACACAAAACTCACACATTTTTTCGACATTTTGGCAGAGTTTTTTGTTTTTTTTTTTTGTATTTTGTATTTTGCTTTTGTGTGTGAAAACATTGAAAATCAATTTTGTAATCAAAAGGTTGTGTCTCCGTTGAGGGAGGTTGAAGTGAAAGCAAATTATCATTCAACCCCGCCACCCCTCGCCCTTAACAGCAAAAATATAAAACTGGCACATTAAATACTCGTACTTGATTATGTATTCGAAGAAATAACCATACAAAATTTGATTTTGGATTTGGATACGCATTCTTTCCGTTCAGCTGTTTCAATTATTCATATTCTCACAGTCAGAGTTCGCCCCTGGGGAGTGAGACACATTAATGGAAGCAAGAGCCAAGAAAAATTCAAATCCAAATGAACCAGACGGCCCCTCTCTCTCTCTCTTTCCCTGCTTGGGATAATTGTCATAGATCTTGCAGCTAAGAGTCGAGTCTGAAGTCTGACGAGCATCGGAATTATCGAAATAGTTGGCCATAAATCAGACGAAAAACTAAAGCCAATTTTCACACTTTGTTCAGGTTCAGGTTTTGGGCAATGTCCTGTCTTGGCCCAAAGCGGGGCAGGGGTCTTATGTCCCTGGTCGGCTGTCAAACATAATCACCTAGCATCCCACTTCAGTCCAGTTCCTGGCTTTTTTTTTGTCCTGTTCTGGCTGCTGCCTGCCCCACGAATCTATTCTCAAAGGAAATTTATATTTTTTTTTTTGTCTGTGTGTGAATGAAATATTTTATTTTGTTTTTTTCCGCCCGTTTTTTAACACATTTTGTAATTTCAACACGTTGCCACGTACCGCAAAAGTTTATTCTGCAACTGTCCGCCAATCTCGAGTGTCCACAACACGGACAAGGACTCTGACTCCGACTCCTATGATTCGTGCCCAGGACTCAGCCTCGGACTCGAACCTGGACTCAACTTCGGACACAAATGATTAATGGTTCTCGGGCTGGACAGGCTCTGAGCTCTGGGAGGACGCTGCCAAATAATAAATCGTACCAAATCGACTGGGGAATATTTTTTCCCGAGTAGGCGGCCAGAAATTTCGCTCTGTCACCATTTGCGGAAAAGGTTTTCCTCCCCACTTTTGTTTCTTATTCAATTTTTGACTTTTTTTTTGTTTCGTTCGTGCCAAAAAAAAAACGTGTGCGAAATTCAAAAATATTTACTTTTGAGCGGTCAAAGCGAAACAAATGGCAACAAATTTTTGGGATTTGTATGAGATTAATGTAAATCCATTAAATTGAATTTGTGGATGGTTTTCCAGGGGGCATATCCATAGACGGATTGCTCACCAGATGCGACTTATAACCGATGAATGGGCCTTAAACGATAGCTTAAAGTTTAGTTAGATTTAGTAGATTATAAAGGCGTAATTCTCTTACCGATTGGCAATTATGTATCCACCGCATATTAACACTTAATAATCGTTAAAGCTGCAATTTAAATCCAGCCAATTCTCGACTGGTTTTTTTTTTGGCTAATTTCATGAAGGATTTCCTGGAATAAATACAAAAATTTAAATGTAAATTTATTATTAAAGACTAATCAAATTGGGTAACAAAATATTAAGCACATCTGTTTTTTGATATTGTTGTGGCAAAAAGAAAACAAAATAAAATTTTAAGACCTGTTTTCAAAACTCTAACGGAACGTGTTGAACGGCTCTACGTCAGCGGGGATTTCTATTTAAAATTCAGCTAAAATGATAATTGGCAGACGCATGTTAGCCATTAGACTAACTCTAAACTATTTCTGAAGGTAAAATGTAAAACAATCCTACGGGAATGTTTTCTGAGGAATATATAGCCCCACAAGTTCGAATCGTTCCCTAATTTTTTCGAGTGTAATTTAATGTTTGTCCATCACTTACATATGGAGCTGCTGGCGTCTCTTTAATCAGGTTATTGCCCCAAAGTGGGAAACACTTCTGGTGTTGGACAAAAAGAACACGAATCGGGTCAGTGGCAATGCTCAGGGCGAACCAATGCTGAGATCGAGTGGAAAGAAAGAAAGAAGGGGTGGCAGAGGGGGCACGGCATCTGGCCAACATGCACGAACAACACGAGTTGGCACCGAAACAAACAACAGCCGCCCGTTCATAGGGAGCCAAATAACGCGAAATGCAAATAATACGAAAACAAACAAACAGAAGAGAACAGAGCAGAGCAGAAAATATTTCCAGTTTTTGGTTCCCTCGGCTTGCTTGGGCTCGGGTTTTGGCTCAGGTATTATAATCATTAAGTTTAGGGGAATTTAATTTGGGATCCATCAACAGAGACACAGACAGAGAAAGAGAGAGACAGAGAGAGAGACTGAGTTAAAGCTTATGAATCACTAAATCTAAGTTTATTTTTATGACTTTGAGACGCGACTTGAGAGATCTGCTCTTAAGTTGTATCTGTAATTACGAGTGTGTGCGTTTCTTTATGTTTATTGTTCATTCAATGTTTTTTTTTTTTATTCTTCTTCTGTTGTATTTTCTTGGCTCGTCTTCTGGTCGTTTGACCGCTTCTGCTGCTGCCTCTCCTCCGTCTCTACTCTGTGATGTTGATGATTCGCACTACGTCAGCGCTAAAAATTTCCATATAAAAGCGCTGCGGTACGGCACCGGCGGTTTAGTCGATTTGGAACTTTTTACGCGTTCGCTGCCTAAGTCTTTTGTACGTTTTTTGCTGTGAGTGTCTCTGCCATATATACATATATATATGTACATATTCATATATACCTTTATATACCTACTTTGCTAAGTGTGTGTTTGTGGGTGTTTATATTACAGATCTCCAACATGAAATACACTTTGATTGCTCTTGCCCTCTTTGCGGCCTCAGCTGCTGCGGCCTCTTCCGGTGAGTGTGCGAGTTCCCCTCTATCTCTCTCTCCTTCACTCTCTTTCCCTGATTCTGCAATTACATCATCGCAGCGACTACGGATTAGTCAAGGCTATAGTTAAACGATTATCATGCTGATTATTAATTTGATTAGCAAGTCTTGGGCTAAACCGGGTTATGTTAATACCCGAAAATCCCATCGCAAAACCATTAAAAATATATAACTATAAATTTTAAAACTTGTTTTGTGAAATTCGAATTTTGCGACAATGTTTGTCGAAACTTTCCGAATATTAATAACGGAATTATGAATAATAAAGTGAGCAAAATTAGAGTTAGATGTCAAGCAGGTTTCACTGGAAAAGAGAGAGTATTTTTTGCATTTTTTGCACAGAGAAAACTTTCACAAAGAAAACAAAACCATTTGGTAGCCTACTTTCGGGATCCCCATTTAATCTGGAATACATATGTATCTATAATAATCTCCCCCACATTCCTCACCCACAGCTGGACAGTTTGTGCCGCGCGCATTCTTCACCTTGGACTCCGAGGGCCACCAGTCCGATGTGCATCCCGTCAATGCCCGTCTGCTGAGGCGTCTGCGTCGTCAGGTGTTCAGCTCTTCGTCCTCGTCTTCGTCGTCCTCCTCCTCCGGCAACGGCGGCAGCGTCACCTTCGCCTCCCACTCCATTCAGAATCCCGATGGCTCCGGCCACAGCGGCTCCTCCTACACCCAGCAGGCGGCTCCAGTCTCCCAGTAGGTTCAACCTCGTCCGCTTGGAACATTAATTCTAATGAGATTTTGTTTGTTGCTTCACAGGGGCGTGAACCTTGAGAGCCGTTTCGGTGAGGACACCGGGGCCTACAATCCCTCATACAACGCTGCCGGCAGCTACGGCGCTGGTCTGACCAGCAATCTCGGATACGGCAGCACCATCGGCACCCAGTCGTACGGCAGCAGCGTGCCCGCTACCCACATCCAGCAGACAATCAGCAGCTTTGACGCCTCCGGCAACCAGAAGGTGACCACCCTCCAGGGTGCCACCGATCAGAGCGGCGTCCTCAACGTGAAGAAGACGGAGATCCAGTATCCCGCTAACTAAGGGGAGACTCCTGAATCTAGAGTATACTCGTACATATTCGAGTGTGTTAGCTGCAGAAGGGGAAGCCGAAGTACTCGTAGAGTAAACGATTAATAAAGTAAATTAAATTAAATAATAAAGTAAAACATTCATTTGCCGAATATTTTGTGGACGCTTGGAAGGTAGGAGAGCCAAAGTTAGGCTCATAGTAGAGCAGGATCAAAGCAGAATTAAAGAATGAAATTCAGTAGAAAGAATGTGCATCATAGAATGGATATATAAGTCTCTGAAGTCCATTATAAAGCCGATTGATTGGATGAATGAATGAATCTACGAGTGTGCAGATGCATTGCAATATCTTACAGCATTCAGTTATGGATATGTATATAAACTCTGGATATATATATGTACAATATGTAAGTTATATATCCATGCGCTCTCTCCCTATATAAATCTCACTCTCTCTTTCTTTCACCACATTTCTCTCGTTCTTTCCCTTTTGTGTGTGTGAGTGTGTTGTTGGTCAATTAATTGCTTCCAAGTGGGTGCCCTGACACGCCCACAGCAAATGTCAAGAGCTTATTCATTGCGGTGGAGCAGCTTTGCATGTGCTCTCCTTTTTTTCCGTTTGCACACTTTAGATGATTGCATCCCGCATGCCATACTACATCCTCCATCCCATCCCACCCGTTCTTCATCCATCTGCCCTTTCGTGCTTAATCTCGCAGCAACAAAAGAGACAGAGAGAGGAGAAGGTGGAAGTGGAAGTGGGAGTGATAGAGGCAAAAGCGCAGCAGCTCCTGCCTGCCTGCCTGCCTGCCTGCCTGGCTGCTCCGCTGAGCACAAACAATTGCCAGTGGGCGGCTCTGTGGCTGTGCCTGAGTGGGGGGCGTGTTAGGCAGTGTTGGTAAATGCTTTTAGCGTATTAGTTCAACGAAGCGGAATTTCATGTCTGCTGCGGCTGCGGCGGCCTGGATGCTGCTGCTGCTGCACTGCCTCCGAAGGCAACGCTTTTAGCGATGATTAAAAACTAGTAAATTTCGACAGGCACAACTATAATAGCTCCAGCAATATTTAAAACAACAATAAACTCAAACAACACCAACAAACTCTTGATGATGGTAGAAACTAACTTAAAGACATCTTTAATCAAAAGGGCGACGCCGCACGAGAAGGATTAAGAGAGAGCAGGAAGGAGTGTGAGTCCGGACAAGATATGAATATGGGATTTGCTTGGGGAATTGCTCAAATCTCAACAGGTGCACGCACTTTCCAGCAACACACACACACACACGCCCCCACATTGCCCCACAACCCCATGTCAACGGTCCTTGCCGCATGCAAATGCTGAAAAGTTTTGTGTGGCAACACACAACCAAGAGAGAGATAGAGAGAGAGAGAGAGTGTGAGAGGAGAGTGTGTGAGTGGGTGGGTGGGAGAGAACGAGTAAGACAGCGAGTGGCAGCTTCCGGAAAGTTCTTAATTATTATAATTAATTACTTTGATCTCTGACTGCGGCAACCAACCGGCTGCTCGCTGCTATTAATTTACTTGATTATGTTGAGGTTTTTCCACGCAACTTCTGCATCCTTGCCGCTCCTTGCCACCCCCCCACCATGCTCTTATTAAAATGTATCTCACATAATTGAGAAAGTGTAATGAATTTACTCGCGTACCGTGGCCGGAACCCAGGAGCAAACTTTTCCAGACTGTGATAGATTTTCATTAAAGTGGCATTCTGGCATGTGTGGTGAAGGATGCGCGGTGGGGTATATCAGGGAGAGGAATGTAAGCTACTTTTAGCGGTATTTCAGCAGAAAGGAATTCGGTGACTATAATTTATTATGCATAAAACATGAATTACCACAAACACTTTTCACATATTTTATTTTTTATATTTCATATTTATTTTTACTTCATTAATGGATAGATTTTAATGCCTTCTTAATGCCATATTCATTCGAAGTTCATGGGGTTCATTCTCTATTTTCAATTCTATGAATCAATCATTGATCTCGCTCTCTCCCTCTCCCTCTCCCTCTATTAATTATATACATGTTTCGTAATCACATAATATCTTTAAATATCAAATCTAATCATTTCTGTTCCCTCTATTTTTATCAATTCTGATTTTGAATAAACTTTCGTAAAGCTTTGAGCAATTAATTCGAAGCTTAAACTTACAAACAAAAAATCGCAGCTTTCGCTAACTTCAATGAGCGGCTTTATCTACGAGAAGAACTTAATGAAAGCTTAATCGAAAGAGACAGAGAGACAGAGAGCGAGAGAGAGACCTGAACATGCATCCGAATCGCGTGATCTGAATTATCGATGAAACGGTACTAACAAAAAAAAGCCAACAGCGAAGGAGCAAAAAAAGCAGGCCACTTCTGCGCTTCTACTTCTCCTTAGCTCCCACCGCCCGGCTGATCAGCAGTGGGAGAGAGGGAGAGCGAGAGAAGAACAGCAACAACAATCACTGATTGATGGGGAGTCAAGCGGAGACAGGAGACAACATGCGGCTTCGCATTGTCATCGGCATGGGGCGCAACAAATTAAGCGTCTTGTGTGGTCGTCATCAGCGGAACGCGGCATCATCAGCCGCAAGCAGTAAGCAGCAAGCAGCAAGCAGCATTGCGGTAGATCGACGCCACCTGGTCAGAGGAGGCGGAGGCCAGGCCCCCAAACTAAGCTTTAACTGCAGCTCCAGCTCCAGCACCGACTCCAACTCCAATTCCGACTCCGACTCCGGAGAGTGACCACCGCCGGCGATGCCTAAATTCAGTTGGACACGAGCGCCAATGCAGCGATCAAGTGACATTTTATTGTCGGCAATCGCTGGACTTCTGATTTTTTCTTTTTTGCTGTTGCCTCTGTTTGTGGTGCTCCACCCTGTACATGTAGAGCTGAAGGGTATATAGGATTTACCTGTACATTGCTAGAGCTAAAGTCAGAGTAACGGCAACTGTTAAGAATCAAGAAAGTTATACGGAGATCTTTTACTTGGTACAATCCTCTCCTCTGAAGGAAATAATTTTTACAGCCCGAATGAAATCACTTTGCAGCACTCGGTATCCCTTAGTCGATGCACTCCATGGTCGGTGTTCTCATTTGTTAGCCGCTGCTTTAGCTATTTAGAGGCATGAAAGTAGCGACAGCAACTGAGCCTCCGAGACCTCAAGTTGGTCTGGGTCTGAAGTCCGTCCTCACTTGGATAATTGACAAGAGTTAATTCATTCCATTGATCGGCGAGCGTTGAAATGTCGCAAATTTAATTATTGAAGTCGCGCTGCCAGTCCAATCAGTCCAATCCTCCGTGACTGTGGGTGGGCGCGGATGCCAATAGAGAGAGAGAGAGAGGAGAGAGCGGCTTAAGCACTCTTTCCATTCCATTCCCATGCCATGCCATTCCTGTGTCCTGCCCCCCTTCCGACCTTCCGCTGGCCAGAGGACAGCCGTTCATTCTCTGGCCTTTAAGTAAAACAAACAAGATGACAAAAAGGAGTACAAGTGGATTGAAGCGGGGAGGAGAGTGCAGTGCAGTTCAGGTGGAGTGCCGCCAAACGAGAACCAAACAAAACGAAATGTTTCCTGACAAATTTCTGCCATTTCAGCTGGAGCCAGAGGAGATGATGCCCGCAAAAAAGAAGCACCAGAAAAAAACGAAAAGGAAATTCAACGATTTGTGCAGTCATCGGAAGCGGAAGCAGCAGCAGCAGCAGCAGCACTGACAGAGTCACATCCTCTCTCCATCCTGATGAGAGCTAGTGACGAGGACAGTCAGTCAGTCCTTTGGAGTGGATGAAAAAAAGAGTAGAAGCCAGAAGGAGGACCCACTAAAGTGGTGGGGCTTGTAGCTTACTGTTGACTTAAATCGTTTAGGTAAAGTTAAACAACTTGTTCCGTTAATTGTTAAACAATGCCCAGGCAGTGCCTCCGCCGTTCTGCATTCCTCTTTCCACTGGCGGACATTCAACAGAATGGACTCTGGGAATAATTGATGGGAAAACTGAAAGCCCAGCAAATGCGATGGAAGGAAGCAGCGCAAGGTGATGGAAAGTACAGAAAAGTGAACTGAAAAAAAAAAATGCTTTAAGATGTGTGGCAACGGAAACAGAGATTTTCGTGAGATTTACCTGAGATTTACCTGAGATTTAACTGAGATTTAAATGTATTTTCGGGTGTTAACTTTAAGTTTTTTAGGGCGAATTAATCAGTAGTAATATAATATAATAATAGTATACTATAATAGGTAGTATTTCTTGGGAAAAGCCATACGATTCCAGTATCTGGCTTAAATATTCTTCAAATATCATTAGAGATTTAAATATTTAATTATTTTGACTAATCTTTGCTTCCCCCGAAGTATTATTTTCATAAATAATTGCATCAAATGTTTTTAACTTAGTTTTTCTCGAAAGTTTTGGGCTCTTGAAATATAATTGATGTTCCTAATGAACCTTTTTTCATCCAATATGTGCACTTTTCCGACATTTCCGACATGTTATTTGTGTGACTCTTTTCCCCCTTCAGCCACGTGGTGTATGGGCAATGAAAAAAGGGTGAAAATGCTGCCGAAAAGTAATAGAAATAACCAGAGGAACAACCAGGCAATGGCATCTCCATATGCACAAGTAGATTTCCGTTGCGTATCCCTTGGGGGATACCGTCAATACTTCCCTGCCATACCATCCTGACCCAAGGCTCAAGGCTCTTCCCTCCCCCTTTAATGGGTTGACAAAAAGAACAAAAATACAAACATACATACACACATACCAACTAAAGGATAAATCTAAATTTCAAGTTCAGTTTCGGCATTTGGCAGCATTGCGGCCGAAGATTGATAATCCTATTGATGTTTAAGCTCTACAATAATGGGGATAGAGAAATTCGATATGATATTTGAATAGTTTAGCTGAAAATGTGGAAAAAAATCTAACTTAAACGTCGCTTAGCGCTTTGCTTTAAAAAGTTTTTTTATTTTCTTATTTTTTGTTCCTTTTCTTAGAGTATTTATAAATGTTTTAAATGCTTTTTAAATTATTCAACAAAATAAAAATCAAAATCTATGAATTTAGACACCATTTCACATTCGAAAAGCAGAACAAACTAACAAAGCGCGCGCGAGTCGGTAAAGCAGTTTGTACTAACCTTTCGCCGCTC